GTACATATCTACACATAAACCCTCATTTTCATAAGAAATTATTTCCAAGCTGATTATATCAAAAATCGATATGTCCGAGTTCTATAAGTTAGTAACAATTGTTGGAGTTTACTCCTCTTCATTCACCAAACACTAATGTTTTTTTTAATAGTAGTGATGTGAATTAAATTAACTTTCGCAAAGTCCAGGTGTGGCCTGCTGCGAGACCTTGAAACGCAGGAAGGAAAAGGGGGGTTTCCTTTGCTCAACAGTTTCGCTATTTTTCGGTAGAAAAAAACCAATTCGAGGTACGCAGTCCAGGATCAAAGGACCTAACATAGCTACTCCCGGTGCAAGGGAGTATCCAATAGCAATACAAAATGGGATACCTCTCTGATAGCCCGGGCTCTATGGGTATTATTGGTATTTAAGTCTGTGGGTACTGGTTTCCTAGCTAAAGTATGTAAGTGAATTCTGCGATGTTAGCGCACTACAGAATCACAGTTACGAAGTAGTGCAGCATGAAACAACTGTATTCCATGCTAAAATGGCAAGGATATAAATACAGCTACTTGTATTGTTATTTGTTCTGTAATGAAATTCCTTCTAAAAAGTGTCCTTTTCAAATGTAATTTCCGATTACAGCAAGAAGCTAAGCAGGCGGACGTGAAGGAATCAGGCTTATTGGATATCATACGATTTGCTCGACAGGAATGGTTGCTGCTATTCTTTGCATTACTTGCCGCGTTGCTTAGGGGATTCGCGTTCCCCATATTTTCGATCATCTATGGTGGAATGTTTCGGGTATGTACTATATGAAACCAATGAGTGGGAGCGAGGAAACCTAGAAAATATGATAAAAACAGCAAAAATGTGGATCTATCTGTCTTTTCATCACACTGCACCTTCCCATTGTCGGCATAACCAGTACTTTTTTGAAAGTTTCTGTGTGGGAAAGCATACCACTTATACTTGCCGATAGCAGGAGTGATATGCTTTCACGCACGGCAGGTTTCAAGCATTTTCTAATTTCTCTTTTTTTTTACCCGAAGCTATACTATACGTTTTTCAACCCCTTTTTTGTTCGGCCAGTTAGTCAGCTCACATGATACCATCTAGTCCTTTTACCGTTTTTCAGTAAAACCCACCGTCGGTTGAGGATATGCTAGGAGCTAATCATTTGGAATCTTCCAGAACGCCAAAGATAAAGGTGACGGAGATAAAAATGAACTCCTGATTTTCCACTTTTTGTTATCAGTCTATGAAAAGACGCGCGCGGCGTCAATCACTGAAAGACAGTTATTAATAAAAGATTATTAAGATCGTACAGCGTACCGTTGCCAGCATATCATATTAGTGATGTCCCCGCCCCACCGAGCGCATCTATGCTAGATCTTTTAACCTTAGCCCACTTAGCCCTCACTGTGTTCGATACCCCGCCATACTTCACGTAGAAAAAAAGAAAAGAAACACAAACATGCATTACCGTATTCTCCCATAAATCTGCACTAAATTCTTTTTTTTTTTTTTTTCAAGAAAATTCTGTTACTACGTATAGCGCCTTTAATTCTTCGCATTTATCAGTGCTGCACTACAAAAATTTTCTTTTCAGACGTTAGCAAAACCGACAGCTGAGATGAGGCTTGATGGCGCTAAAAGAAATGCAATATACTTCACCATACTTGGTATTGGTAGCGGTTTAGCGACGTTTTTTTCCGGTTTTCTATTAAGCACCGCAGGCGAATCGTTCACAAAACGATTACGTGTCGCAGTTTTTGCTAGCATTGTTCAACAGGTAGTTTACATCCCAATTATTCAAGACGTAGGAAAATTCTTTTCTGAAAAGTTTCAAATTGATATTTTTTAATTTCAACCGAGTCCAACGAAATCTAAACAATTTATATCCAGAATACTAAAATTTTCTCAAAAATGCAACAATCAGAGATTGTTTTTCTCTTCAAAATTCTATCCTGCTTTTAGGTGAGAAAACTCAAAATAAAATTTTAATTGAATTTTGGAACAAAAAATGAACGATACTTAGTTATTAAAAAAATGAATTTGGTCTGGTTTTAATAAAGCATCAGATCAGATCTGAAACTTGTATGGGATATCCCACGTGTGCCGAATTTCAGCTTATTGTGCTTAATTTGGGCTTATGCATTAAATCATCATGCACGTTTTGCTTTCACTGCAACACTTTAGGCAGAAAATTTAAATTTATTTATCATTTTTGGCATTTTCTACTTTTTATGCGTTTTGCTGGCTATAGCGCTGCTACAGCCAGCAAAACGCATATTGTCGAGAGGCTGTCTGTGTGTGTGTGTTCGC